CAGGAGGAAAGGGTTATGAGGATTTGACATTCCCCACTTCCCATGCCCTAGGAGAACAGAGTTCAGCAAACAGTCCAAGCCATCCAGCCCAGCAGGCTAGTGGAGAAGATGATGGTAACTCCAGCACAGCTGGGCTTGCTGCTCAGGTGCCAGAGGTATAGGGAGGAGGCCGGGGCAGCAACTTAATAAGTATTCTTTGCAGATCCAAGAAAGGAAACTATTTTTGGAGTCAGAAAGGAAAAACCTTGGGATGCTTTCCTCTTTTCCCAGGTCCTTAGGGGCAGCCTCTTTGCACTTTCTGTTCAGGGGCCACTTAGTGGCTGGGGGAACGGGCCTTGTGGAACAGGTACACAGGACGCTGGAAGCCTAAGGAGAAGAGTATGAAGTCAGGAAGCAGGTTGGCAAGTATCTTAGAACTCTCCATTGGTTCTGCACCCTTTCAGCCAGGACCAGCCTCCCCCAACTCAAAGAACCAACCTTACCTTTGGAGGTGTTGTGGGGTGTGGCCACAAGCTCATAGCTGGAGAAGCCCACCTCTGGGGACATCAGATAGGAGCTGAACTGTTCTGGCTTCAGTTGAATTCGAAAGTAGTTCTTATAGATTGTTTCCTGGGAAGAAAGGCAGGAGATAATACCTCTGCTTGCTGCCTCCTCCCCCTAGCCAAGAATGGTGCTCACCCAGGGACCTTCTCCTGTCACTCAAATCTTTCTCTTTCTGCTTCCTTGAGACCTTTTTTTTTTTTTTTTGCCTCAACCAAAAGATTATTTCCCATTTCTACAGAAACCCAACTTACTGTAAGAGTCTTTCTCTTGCCATAGGATGACCATGGTTGGGGCTCCAGGACCAGGATGCCCCCTGGGCGTAGGTGCCGGTAGATTCGGCGGAACATGCGCTTCAGTCCCTCGTCTCCCCAGTTCAGATGCACCCACTTGGTGAGGCTGAGGCAGAGCACCACATCATACTCAGGTTTTTGGGCCTCCACTAGCTCATCTCGATCCAGCACATAGTTACCCTGAGGGCAAGAATTGCAGGTGAAGTCTACAGAGGGAAAAGAATCACCACTGGCCCTCACAATTGCTCTTCAGACTTTAGAAAAGTCCTATTTTCTTCACACTATGGTTACACTTGCCTCTGACACTTCTTACACTACATTCCAATGGTGTCTTCCTTTCAGTCTCATTTTCTCTTTACATCTTCCTGCCTCTGCTTCCTACTGGTGGTAAATAAAAACAAGCTTGAAAGGAAGCTTGGTTAATTTTAAACTGAGCACATTATCCACAAGATCTTCCCAGATGGGGTCAAACTGCAGCTGCTCTCCAGAATCTGTTTATTCCCACCTACAAATATGCAAGAGGACCCAGCCCAGGTATCAAAAGAAGACCCATGAGTCCTTCCCTAAGTTGGGGTTGGCAAAATGTCAGGCCTGTTTTATCCTTGCTCTGAGACAAATCAAGAGCCATACCTCCTAGGAAACCTAACATAAGCTCCTCACCATCCCCTAGAAAGTCCTCTCACCTACCCCAGTATGTTGGCAAACATTCCTGTAGATGGCCTAACTGTACTGTTTTGTGGGGAGCTATGTATAGTCAGAGGTCAGATGCCCTGCCAGGCTCAGTATTCTCCCCTGCCTTGCGAAGATGTCTCTGGCTGTTCTCCCCCCCCCCCCCCCCCCCCAACTACCTAGGGTCAATGTGGAGATCTAAAGCCAAATCTCTTGGGTTTCCAACCAATGACTTGTCAATGAAGTCTATATCTAAGGAAACAAAAGAAGCTGATGCAAACAAGATCCCTATAAAAGGTCAGAAACTACAAATGTCTCTCACTGCTAGTGTTCCTCCAAGAAATTCCCTTTTGGAAAAAACCCTCATGCTCCCCCAGCAAGTTTAAGAACAAGTTTTCATCTGGAGTGAGTCCTTTAATGAGTGGCAATAGCTGCCCTAGAGGGAAGGTGGAATGGCCTGACAGTCTTGTCTGAACAGCCCAACAGGGGTAAGCCCTTATGTTGGGGAAGAGATTCCAACAGTCATGAGAAATGACCCCAGGGTTAAAGCCCCAAGGTAGAGACCCTAGCTTTCCATTATAGGAGGGGAGAGAAGACCACTAGTATTAGTCTCACTTACCAATCCAGACCCATCTCTTGAGGAACTGGTTCTTAGGAGTAAGATGCAGGAAAATACCTCTGGGTCATAACCTTCCGCTGCCACATTCCCATTTAACTTCACTTAAACATCCCATCCCTATTCCAAGACCCCCAGGACCCTCTTACCCTGACGAAGACAACATTGTTGGGGAAGACAGATGTGTCCGCTCCATCCAAGGGCAGTTGGGGTGCAGCAATGGGACCCCGGCTGGCTGTCAGTGAGGCTGGGAAACAGCTCCTTTTCCGAATAGTGGCAGTCCCTTCCTCACCTTCTGCCCCTGGGTCCCCCTCAGAAGTCTGGGGTGGGAGCCGTAGTTCCTCAGACAGGTAGTGTCGGATATTTTGGCGGGCTGAGTGGATGAGCCGGGCATCAATATCCAGCCCCACCATGCGGGATGGACCCCACTTGCAGGCAATGCTCAGGGTCAGATGGCCCACATTGCAGCCCAGATCTAGGACGTCCCGGCCGCGAAACCACTCAGGCTTCAAAACCCGAAGGCGCCCATCCTCACAGGAAGGATTGCGGTACCCATAGTACTTGCTATAATTTCCATACTGGAACTTGCGGTGTTGCTTTTTGAAGCCTGCTGCAGGTAGTGGGTGGTGATGGTGACGACCTCCCCCACTCCCTCGGCCCTTTTCCTTGGAACCTTGGCCTCCACCCCTAGCCCCTGCCTCCGACTTGCTGGAAGTCCTGCGACGTTTTCGATGTCGGGAGGAGGAAGACGAGGGTGCAGAGGTAACTGAGGCAGTTGGAGGGGCTGAAAGGGAGCCTGAGGGACCTTGCAGGGCAGATGGAAGGGGAGACACGACCTCATCCCTGCAGTTGATGGCTGTGTTGAGTTCATAGGGTTGGGGGGCATCCCGGTTCTGGCCCCTGTGCCGCTGCTGCTGTGTGGCGCCCTCCCCGTGAAGTGAGGGGGTGAGGGGGGCTGTGGGCAGCACGGCATGGCTATCGTTCCCTCCAGATGCCTGCTGCTGCTGGTGGTGCTGTCCCCGGTGCCTATGCCGCTTGCGACCAGTCTTGAGTGGCGAAGCGAGAACTACTTGGGCCTCATCAGTGCAAGTATTGAGACTGAGCGGGTCAGTGATATCTTTGGGGATGAGGATCTCCACTGGATCTCGCCCCTTAGCCGGAAGTGGGGATGACTTAGGGGTCTCCGCATTGAGTGCGCGACTCACTTCCTCATCCAGGAGGCTATTCAGGTTCAGGGGATCAAAGATATTGCCCCCCAAGAGGAAGTTGGAGGGTAACACAGAGTCACAGTCCGAATTCACCCGCCGGCGCCTCTTGAAGGCCGGGTGTTTAAAGCCTCCACCGCCTCCCCCAACATTACAGCTATTTCTCCTCTTGCCCCCTCCCCCCCCAGGGGCCCGGTGGGGCTGGTAGCCATTGCGTGGCCGTGGAGGGGCAGGGGGGCCCAGTTCCGTCCCGCCCCCTCCCCGGCGCTCCTCCCCCACGTCCGGGGGAGCCGCTCGCCCTGGGGGATCGGACAAGGGGGCCTCCCCGTGCGATTGCGCCTGGGGGCCGCCCCCTCGGTGCTGGTGCCCCTGGCCACCCCGGGGGCTGGCCGTGGCCCCTGCCGAGTGTGCGCTCCGTCCAGGCCCGCGCTCCGTCCTTCCGCGGAGCTCCCCGGAGGCGGCCTCTCGGTGCGGCTGCACCGCGGGGCCGCCCCCTCCGCCCGACTCATCTTTGAGCGGCGGCGGCGGGGCCGGCACCAGAAACGGCTCCTTCTCCGCCGCCATCTCGATCATTTCCTCCCCTTATGCCGTCCCAGTCGAGGGTACCGAGGGGGATCAGGGGGCTTAACCCCCCCTTCCTGGCCCCTACTCCCTTCCCCCCTTTCCCGAGTGCGCGCGCAGCTCTGCTCTGCTCGCCTTGAGCCCAGGCGCCTCCCCCCGAAAGCGCTCCCCACTCGCCCGCGAGACCAAAACAAGATGCCCGCGAGACCCAGACAACCCGAGAAATCAACAGCGCGTGCGCCGACCCCTTTCTCCACCGCCACTACCACTCGGCCGCGAGCGCGCACGACTGGCGCGCGTTCCTCTCCCTCCGGAACCACGCATGCGCACTTCGCCACCGCCCTGGCTGCGCGCGCATCAGAGTACGAACCAACTTAACGGCTCCGGGAGTTTAAATATAACCCCCCCAAGCCCCCCAGAAGCCCCCCACCCGAAACGGGCACTCTACTTCCCTTCGTAGCTATGTCCGGCCCTACTGATATCCTTTGTCTCTGCAGCGCGATCCCCGCCTCTGTAGGCGGGGGAGCTGGTGTGAAAAGGTCTCCTTGACACTCGACCCTTGTTCCTGAGGAATGAGTCTCAGCGGTCTCCGCCCGGCTCTAAACCCGACAACCTCCCTACCCCGCCTCCTTCCTCCCCCTAGTGGGTAGCGCGTGCGCACACCCTTTTGGGCTTGCGCGGGTAGCTGCAGCACGTGCTGGAGATGATGCCCCGCCTTCAGTCCTAGGGGCGGGAACTATTACGTCGCTTCCTCAGGTTTGGTATACGCAGCGTGCGTCAGCACGAATCCGAGGGGCGTGGTTTCCCCAGTAAAGGAGGCGTGTCATGAATTATTCATGAGGCGATCGCACACCTCCCTTCAGCCCACCTACTTAGTAGGGCTTCGGAGGGAAAACATGAAGTAGAGACAGGGGAGAAGTGGAGTGTACTGACCGTATTCTTACGAACTGTTCTCAGCAAAGTGCGATTATGTCATTTTAACTCAGCCCCCCCCCCCCTCGGAAATATTCTCTGAAGAAAAAAAAAAAGACAACGGAAACAGCCAAGGTTGTCCCAACTTTCCCCGAAAAGGCTCGCTCATTTGCCTTTCTCCAATCGCGATCACCACAGAACACCATGCCTTACTCTCCGCCTCCACATCCACGTACTGACCCCAACGCCTCCGCTCACCACCCGGCGCCTGCGCACGAGGCCCCCGGGCCCGCGGACGGCTCGCACGCGGGCCCTCCGGGGGCACCCTGCGACTTCGCACCGCCTTGCATGAAAGCGAGCGTGGGCGGGGAAATGGATTCAGCCCACCTTGGGTCCCTTGCCCCAGCCCTTGGGAAGCCGCGATTCGACGCCGTTTCCCCCGGGTGATGAATGTCCCGGTCTCCCTTTCAACAGTTTTAGAAGTGGATGGTATAAGTGGGAATGGAGGCCCAGGATAGTCTCAAAATTAAAGAGTGCGGAGACTAGAAGGGAGAATAAGTGTGAAAAGCTGACGGAAGAAGCAGTGTGTGGCAAAGAGATGAGTTGGTAAATGTGCTTCAGAACACTCAGGCACTGTTGCTGCCGCCTATTTTAAAAAGTGAAGTCGACGAGGATTATGGGATTTGTAGTTTAGGGTCTTCGTTTTGAAGATGGCCGCGCAGCAGCTGCCTTCCAACTGCGCATGTGCCTTGGTCTTGAGCGCTCCCCTTAGGGGGCGGAGCTTGTGCACGTCCTCGCGCCTTCTCCTCTTGGCGGGAAAAAGTAGGTCGAGGTTGTAGGGGCTTGCAGAGTCACCGCTGCGGCACGCTGTGCTTATCACCTTCAGGTCTTCCTCGCCCCAGAAGGTAGCTGGCTCCTCTCCAGTTGCAGATGAAGGTGCAGGGTCCCTGCTGCCAGTTTTGGCACCTGTGTCTGAGGAGAAGGTTTCTCTTCAGGGCGATGACCAACTCTTGCCCTTCTCCTCAGAACCTCTGAAACTCCAGCTCACCCCCAACAGGCGAAAATGACCAGTCCTGTGGCGGGCACCGGCGGTGTGCAGGAGAGCGAGGCTCCCAGGCCTGGGCGGGAGGGGCGCCCGGGGACACCCGCCCCTGGGGGAGTCTTGGTGGGGAGGGGACCGGCTAGTCGCCGGTCCACCCTCAGGGGAGTCGAGAACCTTTGGCTCTGTCCCTAAGAACTGGTGAGGGGAAAGGGAAAATGGAAGCTCGTCCGCAGTCGGGCTCGACCTCGCGCCCTGTGAGGGGAGGTGGTGCGGCGCCTGGGAGGTCACAGGAGACGTGCTTCTTTAAGCAAAAGCCACCCAAAAGCCCGGTTCGGGGGTTTACGGCTGCGGGGTGGGGGGCGGTGTCCCACAGCAGGAACGTGAGGGCCACCAGCCATCGCGCTAGAGAAGCGGCCGACCCCGCTTCTTTGCACCCTCTGAACTAAGAAGCTGTAGTTTACGGAGAATTTATTGATAAGCTGTGAGAAGTTTAGTTCGGGTAGTTGCTTCTGAGGGTAAATAACTTGGTGTGGGCATAAGGGTTCCTGGAAACGACTTTTCATCTTGTGAAAAAGCTGAAAATCAGGTTTGAGGAGCGCGCATGCGCCCGAGCCCACCTACGCACAGAATGGACCCTGCTTCCTTTCACGGCTGGAGAATGAGTGCGAACCACGTGCTGCTAGACAGTGATGCCCAGGGGAGCGCAGAATCTTGAGACTTTAAATATAGCCTTTAAATAAGTTCTGAGGCTCACAGAGTCCATGGTAAAGTACAATTCTAAAGGATTTGCTTTTCTTAGACTAATGACTGGAGGAACAATATGAAGAGGGAATCTTAAAGGCGGAATTATTATTTTTTTTAATATTGCCAAGACTAAATTATTTTACTAGGTAAGGTCTTTAACTTTTTGATAGGAGAATTCTTTTGTTCTCAATTTATGGAGGGCTCCAAAGAGTTTTTTATGTGGTTTGTGTCTATTGATGTTAACATATTAGACATTAAAACTCTGAAACATGTAAAATATTTACTTAGAAATAACTCATAAACTCGCTATATAATATTTTTGGGAAAAATGCATTTTCCTAAACAGAAGACATTTTAGTGGGAAGAGTGGCATTGTTTATATTTTCACAAACCTCATGTCTGCTTAGTAGAAAACAGCCAGATTCTCATCTGTTTCAATCTGTTGTAATATCTTGTTTTAGTATAAGTGTATGAGAAAGCCAGGCGTGGCTCAGGAGGCTGAGCCTGGCAACTTCAAAACCAGCCTCAGCAACTTAGGGAGATCCTGTCTCAAAAGATAAAAAGGGCTGGGGATGTGGCTTAGTGGTAAAGTTCAATCCAAAGTTAAAAAAAAAAAAATAGTATATGAAAAAAAAATGCAGCTTAACACAGATAATTAGTTGGAAAAGGAAAGAATCCTCAGGGATTTTGGACTACATTTTGAGGATGCAGTCTGGGCTGGATAATTTTATCTCAGTATTAATTATGATTTTTTAGTGTTTTATTTTTCTTCTTGGGATTGAACCCAGGGGCACAACCACTAAGCCACATTCCCAGCCCCCTGGTCGCCCCACCTTTAAAAAAACATTATTCAGAGACAGGGTCTCTACTAAGTTGCTGAGATTGGCTTTGAACTCCTGGTCCTCCTGCTTCAGCCTCCCAAGTCACTGGGATTACAGGCATATGTCACCACACCTGATTTTCTTTTATTATCTTGTTCTAAGTTCTTTTAGTTCTTTTTCCCTTCTCTACTCTTTTTGTCCCCCATGTGCTGGGAATTAAACCCTTGCTAGTGCTAGGCAAATGCTCTACCACTGAAGTAAATCCCTGGCCCCTACCCTCCTTTCTTAGGTTGAGTGAGTGGGATACAGTTTATGGGATTTTCTGGTAATTTTACTTCCTATGGTAAAGGTTTTGGGACTGTCTCTGTGTCTTTATTGTCAGCTTCATCTCTCCTTCCCTATCTCCTTTTCATCTAAGGTAAGAAAAAAGAGAAATGCTAATCCTGGATCTAGAGTCCTTAGTCTGTTCAGAAGAAAGTTGGTGATGTTTTCTATATTTATTAGCTATGATTTCTTTTTTTCTCTCTGAACCAGATTTCAATATTTGTTATTGTAGAAAGAAGGAAATTAATCTGAAACAGGGAGCAGAAACTTGAGTTGTCACTTCTTTGCTTTCTCTTCTCTGTGGGTCAGGCTAGAACTCTTGTTTAAAAGTAATGGTCTTCATCATATTTCTCCTTAGATTAAGGGGACCTTTAAGCATCACAACTTATAGATTTGCTATGTCTTGTTAATTTAATAATAATACACAATTCTATCCAGTTGCTTGGAGTTTCAGAAACACTTTGGCCTAGAAAGGTCTGTGTAGGTTTAGATAAGGATTTGAACCTAAATATTAGAAAAGTTTGTATTTTTACATTGGTCAAAGTATTCTTTTTATTACATTTGAAGAATTTAAAATAAAAAATATATTTTTCATTGGTGTATTACAGTTGTATATAATAATGGGATTTTTTTTACATATTTGTACATGCACATGGCATAAGAGTATAATTTGGCCAATATTATTCCCCAGTATTCCCCTCCTTCCTCTGATCCCTTTCCTCTACTGATTTCCCTTTGATTTTCATGAGATTCCCTGACTTTTCTAAAAGTTAATTTTTTAATTGGTAATATGTATGTTATAAAATTCAGAAATAATGCAGTATCATGAAAAGCTTCCTTTCATTCTCATCCACCCAGATCTACTGCCCAGAGGCATTTTGATCAATTTTTTATATATTCTTCCAGAGAAAGTTTATGGATAAACAAGCATATTATGTAGACATACATTTTGAATAGCCAAATATCATCTTAAAAACATTAATTTTCATTCTACTTTTCCTCCCTCAGTACAGCTGTTACAATTTAAATTATCTTCATGGGTACTTTTCATGAGATTTTTCAAAATTCTGGAGTCTAGGAGAAGATATGTTTGTCATTTATGGTCACATTTTCATTTGTGGTCAGATGTTCCTTTTGCAGCTTAGTAAAGTTTCTAGCTTTTACTGAAGATCATATTAAAGAAAGAGAACAATTTGCTTCAGCATTTCTCCCCCAAATTTCTACTTGCCTTTTTTTTTCCCCCTGGAGAAATTATGTCTGGGAATTGGTGGTGATGAGTTAAGATGGACACAGTGAGGAAATGTGCTCCTTAATATAAGGGAAAACTAGTTACTTCAGAAAACCATATCTGAATTGTTCACATTTATGAAATTAAGAAAAGGAACAGAAAAATATCAAAGGATAATTTAAAAATACTTTGCATGTAGCCATGAGGAGTGCATGCTAATCAAGCCCCCAATACCTTTTGAGTTCACCTTCTGATCTAGATGGTGGAACTCTAACTTGAACAAGTTTGGCATTTGAGTATCTTAAAATCTTCAGATTCTTTAACCAGAAGTGTCTAGGAACCAAAAAGACTATTTTATGTTGCCTTTATGTCTCTTTGTGGTGGGAGATTAAGTAGTTAGAAGAACTGAGTGTCAGTTCCAGGGTCTTCAAAATTCAAAACCAACAGCCAGAAACAAGATCACTAAGTAGAATGGATGTGTTTTTAGGATTTAGAAGCAAAAGTCTGGGTTGGTCTGGGTTCTAATATGTATTAAGACTAAGACTTTGGGCAAACCATTTACCTCACGTTGTGTATTTTTCTTCTGTAAAAAGAGGAGCTGAGACTTTATGCCTCTAAAGCCCTCCTAGAGCTATATTGTTTGTTACAGTCACCAAAATCAGGAGGCTGGGATGTCATTGGGCTAATGCTTGCCTAGCATGCTCCAAGCCTTGAGTTCAATCCCCAGCACTGAAAAAAAAAAATGGTGTGTATGCTTTAAGCCTATGTGTTTTAACATGTATTCTTACGTATGCTTTCTGTATGTTGTGTTAAAATGATGGTGAAACATTGCATTAGACTATTGGGTTTCAGCACAGCTCAGTTAACAGCACCAACTTTGACAGACATGTTCTGATTCTGGTTTTATGGTTTATTAATTCTTCAATATCTCTAAATTTTGTAAGCTGCAGTTTTTTCACATATAAAATGGTATCTAAGATTTGTTGTGAGAATTAAATGAGATAATATATAAAAGGTAAAGAAAATAGTGTTGAATATATGTTAACCATTATCATTAATTGCAATATCAATAGTAAGAATGAAGCACATTTAGAACCCCTCTGAATAGATTGATGAATAGCTATGAATATCAAAGAAGGTGCTGAAAGTTCTTATTACTAGGTTTTAAGTAGAAGAGTAAGATAGAAGGTTCAGTTCTCTGAAGACTTCTGCTGGTTTATGAATATTTCTGAGCTATAAACAGACATTGGTAGAGTCCAGTATTTGGGAAAACATTGGCCTTAGGATCTAAGTAAATGGAAAGCAAACATTACAATGATGTCAAAAAGGGGATTCTCTATGCATAAGAGAATTGCCAAATTATTGGTATTCGAAGTATGTAGTGGAACTTCAGGAAATGGAGAAAAGTGCTCACTCTTGAACTCCCAGGACTGTCCAAGCCCTACAAACACTACTTGTACTAATGCTTCCACCACTGCCACTCCTATGGCTACCTAGTATGAGTGCCCACCTTACATAAAACATGGTTCTAGGTACTAAAAATACTAAGGATTTTTGCTCATATTTAAAACAGTAATTCTCATTATTCCCTGGTATGTAATTGGTACTGATGAATTGGGGAGAAGTATTGTCAAAAAAGCAGAAATGTAGTCAAGATTCCCAAGCAAATATATATTAAACTCAAGAAAACAGGGAGAGGAAAAAGTAATCAGGGTCCAGGGTTTTAGCTCATTGGTGGAGTACTTGCCAAGTGTGTGTGGGCACTGGGTTTGTTTCTCAGTACTACATAATAATAAAATAATAAAGGTATTGTGTCCATCTACAACTAAAAGAAGAATATTTTTTAAGTGATCAGAATCATCGTTCATTTCTTTTTTCTAACAGAGGCAAAGAAAGCTGTGTTTCTCAGCTGAATGATGACAACATTGCAGAAGAAAGAAGGTGAGCCAAGAATGAGGGAGGTTCACTTTATATATTTATCTCATTTTCTCTTTCTGAACATCCTTCCCACCAAAGGGCAGTTCAGTTCATATATATTTTCTGTTCACTCTGTTCAAATTTCTACTCTGAAAGATACTTTGAGCAGAAATAAATATGATTTCTGAACTCATAGGGAGAAGAAAGACATTTAAACATCTATAACATAAAGTTAAATGTGGTAAGTGCTATCTGAGAGGTGCAAAGTATTATAAAGGCTCAGAAGAAAGAGATATTACTTATACCAGAGAGGATCAGTGTAATTTCATGGATGAGGTAGCATAAGATTGGCCCTTGAATAGTTTGTAGATTTTGGCTAGTGCTTTGAAGCTAAATTCTCAAAAAATTTTATTCAAAATTAAGCAAAGTTTTAAAAAATTTACACTTGAATACTCAGATTTCTATATGCCTATATTTTTATCACCTTTGAATTGGTTCCCAAACCAATTTGGGACTGTGCCAGAATCAACTAGTCTTATAAAATTATAGATTTCTGGGCCTCACTTCAGTCTACTTCATCATAATCTGAGGGGGGCGGGTGATGTGGAACAGGCAGGGACAGACCTAGGAATCTGAATTTATTAAAAATTCTCCCCATATAATTCTCATGTGGCTAGTAAAGAGACAGTGTTCAGCAATGTCTGTTAGACTGTTTCATAAATTCCATTTGATCAATTTCAGAATGTGGGAAGGGATCAAAGAAACCCTTTGCCCCACCTACACAAAAATTGCATAGCATGATACCGCATGGCCCCAACTCACACAGAGACGAGACCCTGGGGATCAGTTCTCCAGTGGCAGAAGCCAAGGCAAGCCCACCAAAAGCCAGGTTAGAGAAGGAGGAAAAGGCAACTACAGAGGATGGTCCAGGGGTTGGTCAGGAGAAAAAAGGAAAGGCTCAAGACAAGCCAGCAGAGAAGAAGGAAAAGGTATGAGTCACATTAATGAACTCTCATAGGAAGGTTCCTCCTACACTGCCCCCAGCCCCTGGGGCTAGACAAACAATCTTTTCATGTTGGGGAACTTCATCCTGTAGTTACATTATTATATTTGTGGTTTTTATTTTTTTAACTTCTGTTTTCTTCCCTAAGAGGCAAAAAGATATTTTGATGAAAGCATTTGATGAAATAATAGAATGAGGTAGGTTAGAGGTGGAAGTAGAAGTAGACAGAAATATTATAAACATTTCTCTTTTCTTCTACTCCTTTATTCCCAGGACATCTGGGATAAAGTTTATGAACTCCTTAGGTATGTTGACTTCATACCTTCAGTCCTGTGAACTTAACTGCCTCATCTAAAGGAGGCTTTCCTGACTGGCCAGAGGAAAGAACTATGAAAAGATAAGCAGTTTTCCCTTCTTACCCTCATCTCTGCAGGGAAAATCAAGTCTTACCAATGCAGAATTTGAAGAGATTGTCCAGATTGTGCTTCAGAAGTCCCTTCAGGAGTGCTTGGGTACGGCTTGTGGTAAGAGAAAAAAGGTTTCAGTTAGGTAAAGTGACTTATCTGAGAAGTAGTGTAAGTTTGACATATTTTCTTCTCTTTCTTCCTCATAAGTAAAGAAACATTAGACAAGACTTTGAAATACTTAATTCCTTATCAATAGGACCATGGCTAACCCACCTAAGATAAAAGGTACAGACCTTTAGAAAAGTGGATTACATTTGATTTCAGAATATAGTCTTAAACTAAAAAAAAAAAAAAAAAAAAAAAAAAAAAATTGGGGGCACAGGCAAAACTGGGAATTGAACCCAGGACCACTCTATTGAGCTACATCTTTAGCCCATTTTATTTTTATTTTGAGACAATGTCTTGCTGTGTTGCCCAAGCTGGCCTCAAACTTATGATCCTCTTGCTTCAGTCTCCCGAGTAGTTGGGGATTACATGCAGCAACATCATGCCCATCTCACCTACATTTTTTAAATGCTCTTTTTTATAATATTTTAAACTGCAATTTTAATTCATTTCTATATGTTTACAGTCTACTTAGGAAAGAAAAATTATTTTCCCAGATTTGAAGAATTTAGTCTCCATCTATACTTGTATATTTCTGTTTTTAATGTTTTAACATCTTCTTAGGGTTTTGGTTTTTAGAAGAAAGAACTCTATAGTATAGGCCCCAGGGCCTTCTCCATAAAGTTTGAGGCTAAGGAGAATGGTCTGACACTTCAGCCATTTCTCAGGTATACTTCTGTTCCTAGAAGGGGTTTGAGGAAAAGATAATTTGTGTGTGTGTGTATTATTTTCACATATACAAAATAAAGTTATAATTATCTAGCTGTCCTGGAGTGAATCAGATCAGTCTGGAAAGGCTTGAAGAAAGATACAGATTTCTAGTTTTTTTTTTTTTCTGAAAATTTAAAGATTTAGGTTTTATCATATGACAAGTAGCTAAAGGTAAACTCTTCTAGGCACAGGAAAGAGACAAATGTTATGGTTAGTAAATATTGAGTGATTGTTTTATCACTTCTCTGCTTATAATAATCTGTTTTGGGAGGGATGGGATCTGGTCTTAATTTTGCAGAGACTTCCTGTGTTCAGACCAATTCCCAGTCAGACAAAGAACCAGGCATTGCTTCTGCTACTGATAATGATAACGCTGTTGGGTAAGTTTATCCCAGGGAGGCAAGTTAAACATGGGGAATTAACATTGGGAAATGGTGATTTATCTATATATCTAGTCATTTATGGTGTTTCTACTGATTATAGGCATGCACCACCATGCTCATCTCACCTAAATTTTTAAAATGTACTTTTATAATATTTTAAAATGTAATTAAAAATTATATAATTTTATTTCTACTGATTTCTCTCAGCTAAGGAAAGAAACCTCTTTCAGCTGAGGAAAAAAATAAGCAAGTAGACGAGTAAAATGACCTCAGGTGGCTTTAATGGACGTAGGATTGGTATTTTTTTCCTTGTTCATTCTAATTGTGTGCTGTACCACCAAGCATACCCTTACCCCCAAATCTAGAAATCTTTTATCTTTCTTTCACCCTTGAGGTCTTTCAAAAGTTGCTCCTTTTGACTTTTTCATTTGAAAATATCATTTTCAGAGAGAGGAAAATGATACCTCATACTCCAGAGACTTCAGCTTCTGTAGAAGATGTCCCAGAGATAAGAACATCTAAATCAGCCCAACTGGTTCCTGCACCTTCTGAGAAGAAATTTAATAGACTTTCCTTAAGCAAAAGAAAGAGGGAAGCTCGTAAGTGTAGTCAGATACAATTTGATTCCTGACTTAGATACTTAAAGAAATGAGAGAATGGGACAGTTAATAGGCTGAGAATTTTCAGTCCAAGTCTTGAAATTATTGGGCTTTGATTGCTCTTTTTCACTGACCTTTTCTATCTACAAAGATTCTTTTCTTCACCTCCTCACCTCATAATGTTTTGTTTTACCTTCCCAGAAGATGAAAAAATGGAGAAAGTTCAAGGTGGACATGAGTGCAGAGAGAAAGACCAACCAGAGAAAATGATTCAGGGTGATTCTCAGATCAGGGGTCAGCAAAAAGGGGAAGAAAGTGGTTTTGGTGAGTTTATTCAAAGTTTATCACTTGGTTTGGCAAGCCCACCTGGGCTGAATATTCAAAATGGAGGAGAGAGACAAGGATTAGAATGTTAGAGGAAACTGCAAAGACTCTAACTTTCACAGTTGCTTGTTAAAGAATATGCTGCTGAGGAAGAGAAAGATTCCATTCATTCAGTCATTTATTCACATAATCCTTACGTACCAGGCATTTTAGATAGTACCCAGGCAGAAAACTAAGATGTGGTCAGAAAGGTAGAAGAAAAATTATGAGAGTGGTATCACAGATATCAGAGGAGGAAAGAATTTGAAGAAAGAGGGAGTGCTTAGTCATGTCAAATGCTACCGTGGAGAAGCCAAAGAGGGTAAATATTTGAAAATGCTCAAGGATATCACAGTTAGGAAGCCATTAGGGTTTGATAATAGTTATCATATGGATTGGTAAGGGTGTATGGATGGTTATAGTTAGTTGCAGAGTAAACACTTTTTAGTTAGTATACATGTGAAAATTAAGAGGGAGAAAATGGACAGAGTGGGAGAGTTGTGGGAGGGATATTCAGTTTATAACTTTCTTCTATCTATCCATCTATCCATCCATCTATTCATCTATGAATAACAAATGAGACAGGGTCTTCCTGTGTTGCCCAGGCTGATCTCAGACTCCTGAGCTCAAGTGATCCACCTGCTTCAGCCTTCCCAAGTACTGGGATTATAGACATGTGCCACCATGCCTAGCATTATCTTTTAAAAGAGAGACTTGATCATATTTATATGTTGAGGGAAATTTATTTATAGAGGGGGATAAATTGAGATAGGAATGGGAAGAGATTCAAGGAATTTGTCCTTCACCAGGAAGGACACCTTAGCCTTTGAGATGGGTTGAAGGCAGAGTCACAATGAATATGGATTTATTTATTTTTATGAATTTTTTTTTGTGCTGGGGATTGAACCCAGGGCTTTGCATATGCTAAATATGCACTCTACCACTGAACTATATCCTCAACTTATTTGTTTTCTTAACTACACTTATTAGTGTGTTAATTGTGTGCTATGTACATTAGGAGCTAGAAATACAGTGATGAATAAATTTGATAGCTCTTATTCATAGAATTACAGTTTTTGTGTGTTAGATAATAAAAAGTATAATATGAAATAATCAAGGTGACATTTAGATATTTATGACAAGAAATAAAACAGATCATACAATATATTAGTAGGTTCAAAAATTCAGACATAAATAGCTAATACTTTGGGAGAAAACAGGCTTGTACAAAAACCCCCAAAATAATAGAAAACAAAATCCAAAGTATAAGGATTGGTATAGTAAAAAGTCAGGTGGTATCTAATATGTATGTGTATATGTACATTGTTTTGATTGTAAAAGCGTAATAGAATTTGCACAAACTTGGAAAAAAACTCTAGAAAGACTATGCGGGTACCAACAAGAAAGATAGTCCAGATTAGTGAACCATTCCTCTAATTACAATGACATGGTAGCAATAAGGATCTGGAAGTATAATCTAATTGGATGGTCAGGTGGTCTGAAACTCAGATCACCACAAGGGAGTGTTCTAGGTAGGTTTGTTTCTTGAAAAGAGAACTTAAGAGTTTTTTTTTCTTTTGGTTTTATTCGAACAGATAAACTTAGATGTACCTGTTAAGAACTATTCTTGGTATACTGTAGACCCTGTTGACCTGCTCTCCAGTTCTTCCAAATAAACCAGTGTCATTAGGTTTATGTGGCTCCCTCTTCTATACTCATTACCACCAGGATAGGATTTTAGATTCACAGATATGAGTTTGTTCCCTAGGTGGCGCCTGTGTGTTGAATTATGATTGTAGTGAATTTGTCAGCCTCTTGCTGTAAGTGAACCATTCCTTCTGTTTCTTACAATTGCCAAGGAAAGGAGTCTTCTGGAGAAGAAAGTAGAAAGGGGTGAATCCCCTAAATACAATTTTCACTAAATATTGTGAAGGAAAAGAAGAGTGTCACTAGGAAATGATGGAGACCTAAGGAAGATTGGGATAGTCAGGGAATTTCATAGGAAATTATATTTCAGATGTAACCTGAAAAAAAAAAAAAGAAGTTATTCAAGTGAAGAGTAGAATAAAGTTTTAGGTAGGGTAAGTTTGTCATATTCCCAGTACCAAAAAAAAAAAAAAAAAAAAGAGTATGATTGGAGTTCAGAGAGCAAGGGAGGGAAGTGGGAAAGTGCCTTAGGAAAAATGGAAAGAACTAGGCAGTGGTTAGATCAATGACCTTGACCGTGCTATAGTGAAATTTTTATACTTTAGTGCAGTGTGTCATTCTTAATTTCTTTTTTTATGTGCATGATACTGGGGAATAGAATCCAGACCCTTGCACATGCTAGGCAAGTGCTATACCACTGAGCTATGTCCATAGCCCTTTTTAAAATCTCACTTTGAGTCAAGGTCTTACTAAATTGCTTAAGCTGGTCTTGAACTTGTGATCCTCTTGGCTCAACCTTCTGAGTAGTTGGGATTACAGGTGTACATCACCATGCCTGGCCAAATTAATGTTTAAAATGATCCTTTAGTGATAAATTAGTGGTTGAAATATGGGGAAAAGAAGGAGGAGTCAACCAATTACTAGCATGGCTGGGATTAGGATGATAAAAATGGAGAGAGAGAAAGAAATAAATAGTTTTATGATAAGTTTTAGAGATAAAATTGTGACAACTTGGTAATGAATTGGATATTGGGGATAGGAAGAGAGGAAAGGTTCTGTCAAAGATGTTTGGTTTTTGGCTTAAGCAGTTATGTAAAAAAAAGTGATAAGAGTGGAAGAACAACACATTTGTGGGATAAGATTCAAGTTTAGGTGTACTAAACTTGAGATCTTTGTGAAACTTCCAAATAAAAGTATCAGGGTTAGGGATGTAGTCCAATGGAAGTGTATGTACACATGGCCAAGTTCAGTTCTCAGCAGAACACACACACACACACTGCCAAAAGACAAGGTGGATTCTGTAATTCGGGTATGGAAATGGATTTCAAAGATATGGGAATGGGTGAGCTTGTCTAGGGGAAAGTATAGTGTGGGGAAAGAAAGCCCATGATTGGGCTTTGGAACTGTGACATTTAAAGATTGGATGGAGAATGAGGAGAATCCAGCAAAGGAAACTGAGGAGGAAGCTGTCTGAAAGATGAGGGGAGGGGACAGGAGAATGAGGTAACACAGAACTCAGGATGCTAGTGTTTATGGAATGAATGGCCAATTGAAATGCTGTTAATGTGTGTCTGTGACATCAGTCTTCATTATCCTGGAACCACATATGATGAACATCAGTTTTTCAGAGCACATTGTCTTTTCCTTTCAGTTGTTTGAACAGAAACTTTAAAAAATTGCTGTCATTGGATATTTCATCCCAAGCCATAAATATCCAGTTTTATATCATTAGAGTGGTTTCTTTCCATTCATTTTCTTGTGAATAATTATCACTTTCACACGAGAGAGTGAATTTACCAGAGGAACATAATGGTTGGTGATATGAATTGTGAAAATATAGTAATACCTACGTGCCTGGTTTTTCTCTAGCAACTTTCAGTTTCAGGAGTGTAAGCACAGAAAAGGTAGAAACTGGGTTCATTCAAGGTGGTGTTTTGTCATGGGTGGAAGAAAGGACAGATAAAAAGGCAGCTGAAGATGTCTGCAAGAGAGTCTAAGGAAGTGTTAGAGAACCAAAGGTGATTGGTTCAGAGTGAAGAACAGAGGTTGTTACCAAGCAGAGAAGATGGGAGGAGATAGTGGATTGAGAAAGTTGCTATAGGGCTCATTGAATAGGTGAGGTAGGAGAGGACAGGGCTTTTTTTTTTAGTTTTAGGTGGACACAATATCTTTATTTTACATTTATGTGGTGCTGAGGATCGAGCCCAGTGCCTTGTGCATGCCAGGCGAGCACTCTACCACTGAGCCACAACTCCGGCCCAGACAGGGCTTTTTTTTTTTTTTTTTTTTTTTTTGGTCAGAGAAGATATTTGAATAAATGGATCAAAGGGTTTACGATTCCCGTAGATGGCTGGTTGGGGCATGTGGAAGTGGGAGTGGATTACTGAGGTGGCATGGAGGAAAAATTTAAGGAACTGAGAGAATGGGGGTTTTTGGGGTGGTTTTCCTGTGGTCATCTGGACTGAAGTCTAGAAATGGAAGAAAATAAGACAGCTGGATGCCAGCATATTTACAGGGGAGATGGAAGGATGGTAGAACCTCAAAGGAAGAAGAGATTTAAATATAGTAGCAATGGAAGTAAGGATGATGCTGGCGCAATATTCTGTCCTGAGAGACATGGACAGTGTGAGAAGGGACAGAATCCACTTAGAGGGCTGGGGTAGAGGTCAGGTTGAGTGTCATTAGTATGTCTTCAGGCTTCATAAAGGAGGCAGAGGCTCAGAGGTTAAGTATATGTGAACATTTGTTGCTCAAGTCTGGAATTTCAAAGGACACTGTGGAAGAGTTTGGGAGGGGAAGTGTGTGGGACATGAAGTCAAGATGTGGGGATACAGAGGTTGAGATGGGAATTTAGAAGGTAATGGATAAATGGAGGCTTGGCCTTTGGGGCCCAAAGCAAATGGGAGAGAAGTGCTAGACTTAGATCAGTGTCTTTGGGAGGAGGGTGAACCCAGGGCTGTTGGTCTTAGAGGTTTCAATTTGGTGATTTGGTAACAGGTAAATCAGTTGAGATTCAGATAAGAACTGTATATTGAGCACAAGGGAGGCTGGTTAGCCCTTCAAAAGAACTTTTCAGGAGTGTCATACAACAGAGAATGAAGCACTCTCAGGAAAAATACCAGGCAACTTTTTTTTGATGGGGGCAGTGTTGGGGATTGGACTCAGGGCCCAACACATGCTATGCCAGCACTCTACCACTGAGCTATACCCGCATCCCTAAGGCAATCTTTTTATCTAAGAACTATTAATACAGGAAACTATCCTTCTGCTTGCTTGAATTCCGAGTTTTAATTTAGTCTGATCTTCAGCAAATAATTATCTTCTCTGAGCATTGGTTTTCCCAGTCATAGGGCAGGGATTGGACTAGTTGATATGTAAGATTTATATAGAGATGTGATTCTGGGGAGTGGGAAAGTTATATTGATTTTTAGTTGGATTGAAGAAGGAATAACCTATTTTTGAGTCTTTTATGAAAGTTTTTTTCTTGTCACAGGTCAATGTTTAGTTTGGGTCCAGTGTTCCTCTCCAAACTGTGAGAAATGGAGGCGGCTGCGTGGGAACATTGATCCTTCAATTCTCCCAGATAATTGGTCTTGTGACCAGAATACAGGTAGAAAAAAGTAGAATTTTTTTTTTCAGGTTTTATCGTTCTTCCTTCTTTCCTGATATATATTCCTTAGATTAACTATGACATAGGTGTATTTTACACTCAAGGGGTCCTTGTAGTGACTGGGAGAAAGGAGCTTCTTATCCTGTGGAGATGACTGTGGGCATAAATAGTGGGAGAAAGACATCCTGTAGAGTTACACGAAGAAAGGGCCTGGAATTCTGAATATATGTATTGTGTGAATTTCATTTTCTTCAGTATTGGTCTGATCCTCTCAATCCTGATTAGAATATTGGGCTGGTAGATAGCAAGGGATATGGGATTTATAGGGGAAAGCAGGTGAGAAAGACCCAATGATCTTAGAATTATAGAATGTTTGAAACTACTTTGAAGAAATAATGAAGATCTTGTCTAGCTCAGTTATTTTACATATGAGAAAATAGTCTCAGAGAAATTACTCTCATACTGCTCCAAGGATGGGAACAGAGTCACACCAGGGTTTGTAAGTGGGAGTTTGGAATCTCTATAGAGTATCAGGAGGTAACACTCCTACTTCTCCTGGCTCAGGCTGCATTTCTTCCATGGGTCTCTATTCTTTTCCTCCAGGTGCTACTTTTGTTCTGCCTGCTTCCTATACTACTTCCTTCTTGTTCTCTCATAACCTGCATCTAGATTTCTACCTCATGAGTGTCTTCCTATCCCTTCATTCCTTCTCTCTCTTGGCAGACTTGGATTATAATCGCTGTGATATTCCTGAGGAGATCTGGACAGGGCGTGAGAGTGATGTGGCCTATGCCTCCTATGTCCCAGGATCCATCATCTGGGCCAAGCAGTATGGTTACCCCTGGTAGGGCACCATGATAAAGAGAAAACATCCATCCTGAGCTTGGGAGTGGTAGATTCAAGCAGGGAGAGAAAGAAATGGCAGACATTTGTAATGGGAACATTACTTGCCTTAGAAAGAACAAGGTCTTTCTAAGGTTTCTCAAAGTTAAGGTCTCACTTAAGTTAGACTGATCTTTAGCAAGTAATTATTTTCTCTGAGCATTGTTTTTCCCAGTCATAGGTTGGGGAATCATGAGGTGAGGGAGAAGACAAAATATCAAGCTTGAGGGTTTTGAAAGAGCGTGTTTTCTTGAGGTTTCAGGAAGAAAGGTCTGGCAATGCTGCCATAACTGGGTAGAAAATGGAGGGGGGATCCAAGGCATTTTAAAATATTGAGTTGTGAGAACATGCAAAGTGAAGAGAATGAGGAAGATTAGGATAGTTTCTTCCTTAGAGATTTTTGTACTCAGGGTTGTGGGAATGTGCATAAGAGTAAGACAACTCTACTAGGAAGACTCTGACCTTCTTTGTACATTGATGGAAGTCACTTTAGTCATTTGAAAGTGACCACTGGAGGGGACTAATGAGGGACCTTTTGGATCCTTTGTTCACTAAATGTATTGCCTTTTTCTGTACATGTATATTGATTAGCTTGTGTTCTGTTTATCTTATGTCTTCTCTTGTATCCCCTATGCCTGTCTCTCTTCCCCAGGTGGCCAGGCATGGTCGAATCTGATCCTGACCTGGGGGAATATTTTCTCTTTGCTTCTCATCTTGATTCTCTGCCGGTGAGTAATAAACAAGCATATCCATCCTAAAAGATATTTAGAGTTGGAAACATAGATTTAGGCAGCAGACTTGAGTGCAAAAAAGACCTTAATTAGAGCTAGAAATATGGAGGTAAGTTCTCACCCCTAGAAATAAACTTGTGTTTAATTAAATCTTTACCCACTTGTAGGGCATTTATGTTTTGATAAAGATGCTTTGACTAGAATTCCTGAGGTCAAAATGGAGGAATAGTGGGATGAGGTGGAGTAGGGGATTCAGACTTCAGGGAACATATGAAGCGCAACACCTTCTTTGTAAGTCCCCTTATCTTTCTCCACTACTTGTGGCAAGAGGAGAAAAGTAGATAGGACAAGAGCTAAACAGACTATCTTTTATTACAGTCTAAATACCACGTGACATTTTTTGGAGAAACAGTTTCTCGTGCTTGGATCCCAGTCAACATGCTGAAGAATTTCCAGGAGCTGTCCCTGGAGCTAGCAGGAGTGGTGAGCAAACCCGTGTGGAACCGGGGGGTGGGGGGTGTCTCTTGTGATACAAGGAACTGGAAGACAAAAATCTTCCCTTTATTAAGTGTGGTCTGCTCCCAGGGGAAACTGTCTGGAGATGGTCTTTGGTCTGATCAGTTATGCCAAGGGTAAAATTATGCACGAGGCACTCTTCTTTTTGCTGGGTTGCAGTAAGGTAACAATTTTTTTCAGTCTCCTTCCCTGCTTGCAGATAGTGGATCTTCCTGAAGATGAAGGTACTCTACAGTTGAGCCAAATCAGGACTGACAGACATGAGGGCCCAGATTAATTTAGGATTTACCGTTCTCAGTGCTATGGACATTTTGGATCAGATAATCTTTTGTTGTGGAGGGCTGTCCTGTGCACTATAGAATGTTTATCAACATCCCTGGGGTCTTCTGGCATCTAGCCCTGCCCCTGACCCTGCTTCTAGTCATGACAAACGAAAAATTGTCTCCAGACATTGCCAAATGTCTCTGGGGCACAAAGCCTCTCTGGGTTAAGTATGTCATATTTCCTTCTTAGAGTTACTTTGTGTCCAGTGGCTATAAGATGAGCAAAGGCCCAGCAATTCAGGGGTCTTAGAAAAGGAAACAGAATTAAATCAAACAGTTGTATCTAAAGAAACTTGTGAGAAGCTTAAAAGTAAGATCACCTAAACTCCTTTGGTTTTTTAAAAAATGACCATTAGATTCACTTTGGAGACCAAAATGTCAATTGAAAAAATTTCTAGGAATTGGTGAGAGGTTTATTAGAAGGAAGAGGAGTGCTGTTTCTGAGTGCAGAAGACTGAGAACAGAGGAGTGTTATCTCAATAATTGGAAACAAATAGTTAAAATAATGTCTGGTGGGTTGCAGCATGTTGGGATCACTTCTCTAATATTTATTATTGACTGATCTTTAAAGCAGTATCTATTATTGACTGTAATCTTCTTCCATTTCAGAAAAAGTGCAGGAATAAGGACTACAGTCAGAAACTGGTGGCAGCCATCATGATGGCTCAGAAGGCAGAACAGATCAACATTGGGGTGGGAGAGTGTTCAGATCACATACTTGCTTTTATTTGGGACTTAGACACAAAGAAAACCATACTCCCCACTGCATTCCATAGTTGTTATCTTAGAACTGCTCTTTTTTCTGAGACCAGATTCCCTTGATTCCTGAAGTCATCCATTTCTTCCCATGTCCTTGAACAAATGGGATCTTCTCTCAGCCTAAAGAGACACAGTTTGTGGTAGGGGTCATCCTACCTCCCTATTTAACTTCAAGTCTCAGATATTTGTACCCTAATCTCTTTTAATCTGAGAGTTTTTCAGTCTCAGATTCTGCCCATGGGGGTAAGGGTGGGGTTGAGAATGACGAACTGAATTTCTCTTTCCCTGTTACTTGTTGAATTATGAATAAACTGGGAAAATAGATTATAGTTAATCTCTATAAAAGTCCAGATAGGCCTAATATAATATTTCAAGTGAAAATGGTGTGGAAAATGAATACAAATTTTGTCAGAACTAAAATTTAGAAGACAGAGGGCAAAGGCTCCCTCAGGAAGATAGTGGATGATGTTTTTGTTTCTTGGTTCCCTCAGGAGCGGGTCAACTTATTTGGTTTCTGGAGTCGTTACAGTGGATCTGACAGCAATGGGAATGGAAAAGGTAGAAGTGGAGGGGGAGGCTGAAGAGGAAGGGGAGAGACTCTTCCATGAAAGTGGCAGCTCAAGCTTGGTTCTGGATTCTGTAATAGGAGACTCTTGTGAATTTCATTGATCCAGTATTCAGGATGGATCGACAGATGGATGGAGAGAAGAATGGGGAAAAAGAGGGTGAAAAGAGAATGTAGATGGATAGTAATGAGCTTTGAAGAGGGTGGAATCATGATATTTGGGAACTAATTTTATGAGGAAAATATCATTTGGACACAGAAGGCAGAGTTAGAAGATGGATTCTCTGGCATCAGCTTTATAATTCACCAACTTTTTTTGTAAAAATTATTTAGCCTTTCTTTTCTTTTCCTGTTCTAGACCTAATACTTTCTGGGGCTAATAGCCCAGAGTCCTACTTGGAAAAAGAAGAGGAAGAATCAGAGATAGAGGAGGAGAAAGAAGAGAAGAGAGTAAGATTAGCTTTAAATATTGATTAGATCAGGATCGCCTTTTAGGAGAGTCCTGTAAGGAACTGGTTGTGGTGGGTTTACATTTGCTATTATCCATTTCATTTCTGTCTCAGGGAAGACCAGCTGGCTGGTCTTATGTCCTAGAGGTCTCCACCAAAGGAGGCTCTCTGCAATCCTCCTTGTTTCCTCAATTTCTCACATCTCTAGAACATTTTTTTTATTAAAATCTCAATTTATACCATATTTCTGTGGTCCTTTCTGGAGCAATTTGAGAGAAGAGTAGATTGCTTTTCTACTCTTTTCTTTCCTCTGTGGACCCTTAGGATATTCATTCACTCAGTTACTTAGCATCTCTTATTCAGGAATATGAAATATAGATTTTTCACTTTCTCTTTTAATTATTTTTAATTTATCAGCTTTTATCATGCTTGTGACCTAGCTTTATTTCCTTCTTTTATGTATTAAAACCTTGCATTGACTAATACCAAACAAAATGGGAAGGTGACCATTGATTCCCTAAAACCCACCCGCTATTCTACAACATCCCTGTCTATTAAGACAGTTATATGACTGAATTTATCCTTTTTTTCCCCTGTTCTATTCACAGGATCCAACTTTGCCTGGACCAAAGCCAACCAAAACACATTCAAAAATGCCCAAGGCAAGACGTAAGCAAGCCTGCTGGAAAGGGGCTGCGTCTCACAGTTAAGGCAGGGCAGAAGCAGAGAGTATTAGGAGTCTTCAGGTAGCTGGGTCCATCTATCTCAGCTCCAAGACCTGAAAACACAGGCAGGACTAGCTGATTGTATCAGGGAAGAAACTGTAGGTTCCTCATTTCTGTGTTTTATAAAATGTTAGGTTAAAGATGGGAGGTTTTAAATTCTTAGCCAATAAGGATGGCTTCCTAGAGAAGGCCGACTCTCAGGAGAACAGTGAAGAGAAGGAGAAGATGGGGGGGGCGGCGGAATGTTAAAAAAAAAAAAAAACCCAAGCGGGATGGGGAACTGGAAGCTACTGAGAGAGCTCACTAGATTGAGAATGAGCAGAAGATGTGGAGCAAGGCAGAGGCTAAATGTGGGGAGACAGTCTGCCCTTTCCAAGTTGTTATTGAGAGAGAAAAAATATCCTTGATATTTTTGGGGTTGGGGTGATGCAGGCATGGCAGATAGACAAGACAGGACCCTGAAAAAGAAGATAGTGAAGAGACCTCTGGGCAGTGAATCCATACTGCCTCCTGCACCCATAACGGGAAGGAAAGAAGGACAAAGGAATTCTGATCTGGACCAGCCAGGTAAGGCTCAAGGTCTAAAACACTGGAGAAATGAGATCTATATCTGCATATCCTCTCCAGGATCATTTCTGAACAATTCTACAGCTTTTCATTACATTAAAGAAGGAATGAAAATCAGAATGAAAGCGCATGCCTCACATTGTACCCGGCACACACAGTATGAAAGTATGATGGGTTTTGAGTTGATTGATTCCAGGGAGGGGAGAATACTGAGGAGAAGAGAATGTTTATTGAATGTTACTGTAGACTGGCTAGATGGGTACTTTCCTGCTTGTTCCTTTTCTTTCTTTCTGTAGCTTTATGACTCGATATTTGACATTTTAAATATAGGACAGCTGAAACTCAAAGAGTTTAAAATTTGTTTTAAGACCCATGTTGAGCATATGGATATCCATGGCTTTAATCCAAGTCTTTCTGACCCAAAAGCCCATGTTCTTTTTTTTTTTTTAATTAATTATTTTTTTTTTAAGTTTTCGGCGGACACAACATCCTTGTTTGTATGTGGTGCTGAGGATCGAACCCGGGCCGCACGCATGCCAGGCGGGCGCGCTAGCGCTTGAGCCACATCCTCAGCCCAGCCCATGTTCTTTATACTGCGATCTTTTCCACAGATATGTTTTCTTTGCATAGGTATTCAGAATTTTACTAAGCCAGCATAATCTTGCCTTTTAGGACTCTGAACTTTATTCCCATTGCATCTAGGCCTTAAGAAAAAATTTCAAGTTCCCCAAACCAAGGCCTCAGCAACCAACTTGTCTCAGGAAAAAGAAGTTAGAATGATGCCGAAGGGCCTGACCCCACCAGCTCATCACGTGGCCTGTCCCTTGGAGGGGAAAGAAGGGCCTAGACCCCAGGAACCACCGACTAAGGAGGCTGAAAGTATCCCCACTGAAGATGAAGCTTCCAGTGACCTGGACCTGGAGCAACTCATGGAAGATATTGGAGGAGAGTCCAAGGAGCAAGGGGAGCCACAGCATGGAGAGGATGCAGAGGGGTTCCCTGCAGCCTTCTTTGAGGAGTAGTCCTCTGCTCTTATCCTACTATTCTCTGCAGCAGGGGAAAGAGTCTCTTGGGAGGTCCCTGAACAGTTGATAATTTTGGGGTTGTTAATTGGCTACAAGTTCAAGTCAGTTGTGCAGTTTATGTGTTAATAAAGCAGGTTACTGATGTGATTTGTTTGGCTTCTGTCTAAGCAGTGCTTCATTTTGGCTTCTTTCCTTCCACATGTTACTGTGGCATATCAGTGCCTCTGATGGGAGGCTTGCATGTCATAGGAGCTGGGGAAGGCAGTGAGACCTGAGTCCTGAGAGAACCTCCAGAAGGGTAGGTCTGGTTTCAGATCCTGGCTCAGTGATACTAGCCAGCTCTATAGCCTTGGGCAAGCACTTGAACTATCTCTTCATGCCTCAAATGGGCACATGGTCTAAGTAGGATTGATGTTTTCATGAGGTGATGGGAGGCATCAGGATAATGCTAGTGGTTACGGTGAGGGGAGATGATGGTTAGATCAGAAGCAGTCCTTGGTTCTGTGGTGGCTACCAGGGTTTGGGGATTTGTGTTTCCTGGCCTGAGATAGTCACTGAGAAAAAAAATTCTAGAGGAGGTGGCTTGACTATAAATGGCTGTACCAATTTCTTTGTGTCCTTCAAACCTCCTGATTTCTGAGTTTTCTGGTTTTAGTAATTGGAAGCTGTGATTTTTCCCATTGGAAGCATAGTTGATTCTTTTTTTAAAATATTCTTTATTTTTTTTTATTTTTTATTTTTTATGTGGTGCTGAGGATCGAACTCAGGTCCTTGCATGTGCTAGGCAAGTGCTCTACCGCTGAGCCACAACTCCAGCCCTAAGCATAGTTGAATCCAAGATCATCATTTCAACCCCACTCTTTAGGTCTTCAGAACAGAATATAGGCTCTTTTCTGGGGAGCCCCCTTGAAGAGTGTGGCTAGGAGCTGCTCCTGGCAAGGTCAAGTTGGAGAGGGAAAGGGAGGCATAGACAATGTTGTCTTCCTGGGTGAGAACCAAAAGAAGAGGATGTTAGTGGCTTTAATCCAAGTTTTTCTGATCCAAAAGCCCATGTTCTTTATACTGCGATCTTTTCCACAGATACGTTTTTTTTGCATAGGTATTTAGAATTTTACTAAGCTAGCATAGTCTTGCCTTATAGGACTCTGAACTTTATTCTCATTGCATCTAGGCCTTAAGAAAAAATTTCAAGTTCCCCAAACCAAGGCTTCAGCAACCAACTTGTCTCAGGAAAAAGAAGTTAGAATGATGCCAAAGGGCTGAACCCACCAGCTCATCATGTGGCCTGTCCCTTGGAGGGGAAAGAAGGGCCTAGACCCCAGAATGGAGGCTTCCCGGAAAAGAACCTATATTCTATTCTGAAGAAGTAGGTTATAGGGAGTATAGGGCATAGGGAGTCAAGTCATGTTGGGGCCTGGCTCTCCTCTCCTAAAGCAAAGACCTACATCCTGAGTACCTTGCCTACACCACAGGCCCTCCATTCCTTGCATGCTAACTTCTCCAAATCCCCCTTACCTCCTTCAGGACCAAGTTTGAGCTGCTTATCTCAGGTTTCATTTTCAAGTGTATGTTGTGTCCTATGGAGGGGAAAACCAAGGAGTGCTGAGAGCAAGTGGTATGGCAGGCAGGTGGACAGATGATAGGGGCTGTGGCACCCAGTATCGTTAGGTTATGGGCAGGTCACATGGGAGGGATGAAGTGAGGAACAGAATGGGGGAGAGCACAGAGGTGCATGTGGAGGTAGCAGGTGTTTGGGGGAAGAAGGAAGGGCCCGGGAAGCTTGGGAATGGTGATGGTAGGACTTACCTCTATACTCAACATTCTCATATTGCTCCTCAGTGTTTGAGAAGAGTTCACTGCATGGGGACAAAAGGTTGAGAAGTAGGTTAGAGGTTGGGCATAGGGAGTCAAGTCATGCTGGTTCTCCTTTTGGGGGACACTACAATCTGCCCTGGTACACAGGATGAATGTGATGGTGTTAGCCCCCCCCCCCCCCCCCCCCAGAAGGAGGATGCCTGGAAGAGGAATCAGAGCCCTTGGTGGGCTGTCCAGCAGAGGTCTTAGCACCAACTAAAGGTGGGTTTTCTAGGGAAGCTGCTTGTATTGGGGGCACTTAGGAGAGGTAGGGAGGGTACTGCCTTGGCTAAAACTGGGAGAACAGAACAAATTCAGGTTTTCTGGGCCCTTGCTCAGGCTGGGTCTCTGGAAGGAGAAGGGACCTGGAGATGGGGAAGACGAGCAGCTGGGCAGGGAGAGAAGAGAGAGATAGAGACCTTAATTGGGAAAGTACGGTAATGGGAGGATGAAGAGGAAAGGACGAGAGAGATGGTGAGCTGGGGCAGAGGATACCTGGGGTTCGTGGGGTATTCATCAGGGGAAAAGGACAGACTAGACAGGCAGCAAGAATGACAAGAGGATCTGGGGAGCTGGATGTGTCCAGGAAGACATGTTCAAGTCTGAGGGGAAACCAGATGAACATAAGTTGCAGCTTAGCAATGAAGGAGGGAAGGAAAGAGGATCCAGGAGAAAGACTGGAGGGAGCAGTTCTGAATAGGAGAATCTCTGAAAGCCTGTGCATTCTGGTCATTATCAGGGGATAAAGCTTGTGAAGGTAAAGAGCCTGGTCTGTTGGAGGACAAAAGAGTCGGGGATGGGAGAGTGGCTGTAACAGGCACCTTGTATGGTTTTCCCAAGGAGACTTCCCAAACCAGCCCCTCTCCCCCAATCTTGGGAGGACAAATACTCACCTGGCTGGGCTTTGGGCTTTGGTAGGCTGATCTGTAGGAGGACCAACAGCATGTCAGTGTGACATCCATGATGATCCTCCATCCCACCTTCTCAGCTGTGTCCTGCACTCAGACAATCTTTCAAGGAACTAGGGTAGCAGAGAAGTTCTGCCCCAACAGTCAGGAAAGGGCCTGGGACTCAGCTGGCATTCTGCAACCAGCTCTCACCTCTTACTGTCCTGTACAGCAAATCCTAAGACAAGCTCTTCTGGTCAATTGCCCCTTCATCCTTGCCCTATCTCCAAACTTTACTTCCTTCTTCCCCCTTGAACTTCTTGACCACTCCTATGTTTCTCCTTGCTTTCCTCCATTGTTCTTTCCTTCCTTTCACAAAAACAGCTTCTAGCACTTTCTCCTTAGTGCTGGCTGCTTCTGCCCATTGTAGATTCAGCCCCAGGGTTGGAATTGTGATCAAGACTTCTATTGCCACTGTGGACCATTCCTCTTAACTCTCAGTTGGTCCTCTTTCTTTTTCCCTATTTAGACGTCTTGGCACTCTTGTTGAAGATCATTTGATTGTAAATTCAAGAGTTTATTTCTGGGTTCTCTATTTTGTTCCAATGTCTGTCTTTATGTCAGTTCCAGGCTGTTTTGATTACTGTAGCTTTGTATTGTTTTGAAATCCAGAAGTGTGGGTCCTTCACACTTGGCTATTTGGAGTGTTTTTGTTTTTTAGTACCAGGGATTGAACCCAGGAGTGCTTAATCAATGAGCCACATCCCCAGCCCTTTTAATTTTTTTATTTGAGACAGGGTCTTTCTAAATTGCTGAGGCTGGTTTTGAATTTGCAGTCCTCCCACCCCAGCCTCCTGAGCCACTGGGATTACAGGAGTGCACACCATGACTGACTTATTTGGTGATTTTTGAAATTCTAATTTTAGGATGAAATTTTCATTTCAGAAAGTAATGCCATTGGGATTTTGACATGGATTGCACTCAATCTGTAGATTCTTTTGGGTAATGGAGCATCTTAACATTAATTCAATTCATGGTTATGAGCTGTCATTCCAATTATCTGTGCTTTCTTTAATTTCTTTCCATAATGTTTTAAATTTTTTTTTTTTAGTTGTAGATGGCTATAATACTTTTACTTTATTTATTGTTATGTGGTCCGCAGGATTGAACCCAGTGCCTCACACATGCTAGGCAAGTGCTCTACCATAGTTGCAACCCCAGCCCTTCCACAATGTTTTGTACATTGTTTCCAAGTATTTTATTTTATTTTTGATTCTATAATAATTGGATTGTGATCTTTCCCCACCTTGCTTCTCCCACCACCACCACCTCTACTACTAAGTTTCTTGAAAGCTGACTCCACTCTACCGACTTTGATTCTCCAGTTTCAAACCAGGCTCTTTGGAAAGTGGGCACTGGACCAATCCTTGCTGAGCTGATCCAACTTTCTGTTCCTTCTGCTCTCTCCTTTACTTTTCCCAGGGTAAGCCCTCCCTTCTCTATGAACCAAAAGGTAAGAATTGATGAGACATGACTATTAAAGTGAGAAGAACTGGCAGATGACCCAATTGTGTAGACAGGGATTGGTGGTTCTCAGAACTTGATCCCACTTGTAGGGATTATAAAAAGGCAGATTTCCAAGCTCAGACCTCAGAGCCTGACTTGGTGGGTTTGAGGGGAGCCCCACAGTGAGCTGCATTTTCAAGAAGCACCTTCAGTGATTCTGATGCAGGTGAATGTTAAGGATCACCCAATTTGGAAGTTTGGGCAGAGGGTCAAGCTTACCTCTTCTCTTCCACCTGAGGAAGACCATCAGTGCCAAAATTGCAGTTACAAACACAGCAATGGCCAGTGCCACTCCTACTGCAGCTCCCAGACTCAGGGGCTGAGACCCTGATCTCCTTTTGCTCTCTGTGACCTCGATGCCAGTCGTGGTTTTGGAGGTTTTGCTGATGGGAATTTGCATGGTGGTCTTGGCAACTGGAGAAAGATGAAAAGTAAGCAGACCCTCCACTGGAGAAGTGGGGGTATCTGGGTGAGGGTTTTGAATCTTGTTCACTAGTTGGGAAATATGGGTAGGGGAGCAACCATCAGGAGTTCATATAAGGAGAGAGTAAAAAATGCTAAATGCTGAGAAGCCAGACAGCCCAGCTTACATCTGACTCTACACCACTTACTGATCTTATCCAGTCACATGATATTAAATCCCATTAATATCCTGATTACTCCCAAGTCTGTCTATCAGTCAACTTTCTCCCTGCACTGCTGATTCATGTCTTAATGCCTCCTCATGCTGCCATTTGTATGTCTAGTAACAACTCAGACTTAAGTGTTCAAAACAGAGCTCTTCATTTCCTCCCACACCTGTTCCTCCTCATTTTCTTTCCCTCCCCACAATAAATGGCAATACTGTCCTTCAAGATGCTTCAGGCCAAGGGCCTTGGAGTCCTCGTTGGCATTCCCAATTCAATCTGTACGAAGAAATACCCTTAGAAATCTATCCCACTCTTTCTACTGCTTTTTCTCCTCTGCTTTTTTCACCACCAATTGACTCACATACAAAATTTATTTATACATTTTTTTTCTTCCCCCACTCCAAAGTAGGTCCTATCTTTGGATGTTTTTAATTACTTTCTCCAGAGCCCAGTTAGCACCTGACATGATAGGCACTCAATCTATATTTGTTAAGTGAATGAATGAAATGAAATGACTTTCCTTGGGAATTCCAGGCATTCAACCATGGTTTTTCAGCTTCCTATGTTACTATTGAGACAGTGATCTGCATATGGGACCTGTTTCCTTCCTCCCTGGAGGTCATCTTCCCCCAGGGTCCATTTTTCACCCTCCTGTTTGTTTTGCTGTCTGCATTTCCTGGAAGGAGTTGTTCCTAAGTGTTTAATGTAAACATAGTTGAAAAGTGGGGCTCTAGCCTTGGGCTTCCCAGGCACAACTGACACTAGGCAACAGTCATCAGTGCGGGGGGATTCCATGCAAGGATGAGACCCCAGTCTTTTTGCTCAGTTGTATCTGGGGTTTCTCACCCCAGAATCCCTCTGGTTCACCTATTCTGGAAAGCAAACCTCCATTCTTTGCCTGGGAGGAATGGAGTTTCCCCATTACAACTGTGTTGTAATTTCCAAATACATCTTCACTCCCACTTTCTGGGATACCTGGGGTTGGCATTATAGAACCCTCAAGGGATTTTGTGTTGGAACTGTTGTTGTTTTGTGCTGTATCTTCTGAATTTCCCCACTGCTGGCTTCAGCAACTCTGGTCTCCTGAGTCAGTTCTAGCAGTCTTTCCAGCCTCCCAAGTTTGCCTTTGGACACTTAGCTCACACATGTTTTTTTGTTCTTGAGTATTTTTGCATAATAAAGTTCCCTTTGCTGTCATCTTAGTAGATTTTGGGAGTGAGTGGAGGAAATAGGGAGGATGCTGCCATAAATCCAAGCTATCTTGCTTAATTAAGGCTGTAGCGACATTAAGGTAGACATGTGCATACAGGACATTAAGGTAGACATGTGCGCGCGCACACACACACACACACACACATACACACACTACCACCTGGATCAGAATTTATGCTTTAAATTTTGTAAAAACTTGTTGAAGATATCAAAAGCTAATCTAGAATATTACCTACTTATGAAAATGGAGAACATAAAGAGCAACATCCTATGAAACATTTACATGACCTTTTAGAACACTGCCAAGGTCTAGTGAGGGGTATAAAACAGAACTCGTTCCTGGTTTGGAAAGTGGCATGTCATGCTGATCTCAGTTTCTGTTGATTGCTTTATTGATATAATGCCATTGTGTTTTAAAATATCCCAATGAGTGTCTTTCATTTTTTTTCTTTTGTTCGTTGTCAATAGACCTTTATTTTATTTATTTATAAGTGGTGCTGAGAATAGAACCCAGGGCCTCACATGTGTTAGGCAAGTGCTCTACCACTGAGCCAGCCTGAGTGTTTTTTTTTTTTATTTTCCTGAATTTGGCAAACCAATCCAAACCTCTAAGTGTAAGAATAGGAAGGCCATAATATCACAGTGTTTGAGACAAGAATATGTGTTTGAGATCGAAATAATTTTTCTATTGAAACATGAAAATTAGTGTCACTAAAACAGCATGCTATTGACATAAGAAAAATATCAGTGACACAGATGAAGACCAGGGCTGCTGCTGAGGGTGTAGGTCAGAGGTGGAGAACTGTCGCATGTGTAACGCCTGGGTTCAATCTCCAGCACCACAAAATAAAAACAACAACAAAAGGACTGGGGTAATATATTAGTTACTTAAAAATCAATTTAGTTGATTAAAAATCTAGTTGTAGAAAAATCGATTTAGTTTTGTACTTCATACCATATATAAAAATAAGTTCTCAGTATTTTAAAGATGTTTTGTGAAAAGAAATGAAACTATGTAAAGATTTGAGCAAAAATTTAAAAGAATTTTAAAGTAAATATTTTCAACCTCTAGTGGGAGATGGACATTTTTGTTTAAAATAGAATTTTCACAAATGAAAACAATTAGATTTGGTTACAAAAGTAAAGTTATGTAAAAAAAATTAATAAGCCAACCACAAACAGTTGTATTTACTGCAAATATTCTTTCAGTTGTGATATCTTGCATGCTGGTACTTCAATTGGATCAAAACCATTTTTTTTTTTTTTTGGTACTGGGGATTGAACCCAGAGGCTAAACACTGAGCCGCATCCCCAGCTCTTTTATGTATTTTATCTAGAGACAGGGTCTCACTGAGTTGATTAGGACCTCACTAAGTTGCTGAGGCTGGCTTTGAACTTCCTATCTTCCTGCCTCAGTCTCCCGAGCCCCTGGGATTACAGGCGTACCACTGTGCCTAGCAACCATATCTTTTTTATCATTTTCTTTATTTTGGCTTTTAAAATTATGGGTGTGAATATTAGGTTAGTTGGATTAATTAAAAAGTAATTTATTAGCTTCAGCAATTTAGCGAGGCCCAGTTAAGCTCTGGTAGAGTGCTTGCCTAGCATGCACAAGGCCCTGGGTTCAATTCCCAGCACCAACAAATAAAGAAAAAAAAGTAATTTATTGATAAAAAAAACTTACTGTTGGGATGGGGGTGTAGTTCAGTGGTATTGAACTTGCCGAGCAGGTGCAAGGTCTTGGGTTTGATCCTTAGCACCACAAAACCCAAACCCAAACCAAAGCAAAAACCTCATAGTAAATCTGACTGAAGACAAAGAAAGGAGAAAAGCAAACAGGAATTAGAGAAGGAGGAAGAGGGGCTTGAGAAAACCCAAAATCTCTCAGAAAAGGCCATTTAAGGAAGTGGGTAGGAGGCACTGGAAATATAAATCCAAGCTATCTTACTTAATTAAGGCTGTAGCGAAACTGTCTATTTACTCTAAAACCAACACAGTGGTTAAGATAGGACAGTGGTTCACCATGGGAGGCTGGGTCTGCTCTGGCAGGGAGGAGTCATTAATCATTGTCGTGGAGATTTGCTAGCATGGGTCATTATGAAAGGGAAACCCATTTAGTCGATTATTAGATTCCTGAAAAAATTTCTAGAGGCAATGTACTGCCTTATAGCCTCCCCCTGAAGGCCTCCTGAGAGCCCCCCAGACACAGACAGGTCCCAATTCTAACGTCCCTATGGAGTGCTACTGAAGCGTCTGTGAATGGTCCTAATTATTAGGTTAAAAAATAAGTCGAGAGACGAATTGGGGCCAACTCAATAGGCAAGGCGTGTGGCTGATGGTTAGGAGACCAGGGTTCTGCCGTTTAACTGTCCCTTCACATCCCATGTATACCACTAGCGTGACTTTGGGCAGATATTCAGATTCTGCTACTCTCAGTTTCCCTAACTTTAAAATAAAGATGAGATGACCTTTTCTGTTACTGCAGGGTGGTGGTAAAGGTTAACTGAGAAAATGTCCAGTTATCTGGCAGGGCTCTGGTGCAGCTAGCAAGTGAGAGCTGCTGTTACTGCCACTGTAGAGGTGCCTCGTTGTGACCAGGACAGAGGAGAAAAACATGGTGCAAGATGGGGACATTGTGATTAGAACGTGTGTGGGAGAGGAGGAGGAGTGTGTGGGAGAGAAGGAGCCGTGTGTGGCAGAGGAGGAGGCTCCCTAATGGTGAAGGATGAGGAAGGAGAAGAGGGAAGCAGGACAGGGGAGAGAAGAGCCTGGGCAGGGAGAGATGAGGGATGGGTTCTGGGAAGCCGAGCAAGAGAGGAAGCTGGGAGATTAGCAGACTGGGGGCTTCCCAGGGCCTGGAGGTGCACATGCTGTGTATTCTGGGCTGAGCTGAGGGCGGTGGGGACTCACAAGGTACATGCTCACCCTAGGGGTAACTGGGGCCCAGACACAAGACCAGTCAATGGCAAGCTGCATCTTAGGTCAAATCCACATAGAAGTCATGGGGTGGGGGTAGAAGGGCGCATTTGGAGCAAAAAGGAAGGGTAACTGGTGAGTCTGGTGGGTGCTGAGGCCTGGGAGTTGGGTAGGACTGGATCTGGAGGGGACCTAGAGGGGCAAAGTCCGGAGAAGCAGCTCAGGTTTAGGGATGATTACGGGGAAGGACAAAGGTAAAGTTGGCAGAGGTATGGGGAGGGGCCAGGGAGCAGGGAAGGGGTCCTGGGGAAGGGCAAGCAAGTGTGGGGTTCGGTTAGGGGATGAGAACTCCAAGGACACTGAGGCCTCAGCTGGGGTGGGCTCACTGTGGGTGATGGTAACTGTGGTCCCCTTGATGGACTGCCACTGCTTTATGCCTTCCTCCGTATTTAGCTGGATTCGGCAGAAGTACGTAGACTCATCCTCCTCCCGCAGGTTCTGGATGATGAGGGAGCCGAACTTCTGACCCTTTTTCCAGTCCAGAGACAGCCGGTTTTTGTAATCCTCATGGGTAAAAGATGAGGTGTGGTTGTAGAAAAATGGCCCATGGAACTCCTTCCGTCTCCAGGATATTCTCACATCGGGATTCTTGGCTAACACCCAGGAGTAACAGAAGGAGAAGGAGATTGTAATGGAGCCACCCTTGGGGGCCTTGAGGTGTTCTGGTTGGGTGACCTCATAGTGGTAGCCTTTGCTGCATGCTGCTGAGTAACCTTGAGGAGGGAGGGGAGAGAATATCAAGCCACCATAAGAGACAGAGAAGATTACCCCAGACCTCGTAGCACCTTCCTCCACAAATGGTCGTGGGACAGATGACAGGGCTGTCCCTCCGGTGCCCCTCTCTAGGCTTGGAGGAGGAAAGAGGGTGAAGGGTTGAGGTGGACCCACACCATAGGATGTCTACCTCCTTGTTAGGGGTGGGAGTTTGGCTGGCCTCTCCAACTGACCCCTCTGCATATGCCCAGTCATTACCACCAGCCCCTTCTGTGGTTTAGGCAGAGCCCCTTTAGGGGTGTCCTGGCCACTCACCAGCTTTCAGGGATGCTATTGGCAGCTGCAGCAGCAGTAGCAGAAGCAGGATGCAACCCATGGTCTGCCGTCCTCCAGGGGATGAGACAGCAGAGCTGTTCAGACAGGAGTGGAGGCCTGTGGAGAGTCAGAGCCAGGCCCCTTCAGAGGACTGCAGGAGGTTGGAGTCCTTCCCACCTCCCTGGGTGACCAGCACTTCCTTTGTTAATATGGCTTCTTCTTTTCCTCTGTTGCAGAAGAGCCTCCCTGTGGTCAATGGCAAGGCGGCCCTGTCCTTGGGCCACAACACAGGATGAGGTGGCATGTGCTTGCTGAAGGGACAATGGGAACAGGAAGACATGATTGCACTAGAGGAAGTGCATTGGCTTCCTTGAGTTGAAGAGCTCAGAGCAACTTCCCTTTTCTCCTCAGCCTCTTTGCTAATCCCAGTGGACTCTCCCGTGCTTCCCCTGGGGCCACACAGGCAGCCTGGCCTCTCTGCTTCTGTTTCCCTAGCCCTCCTCAGGTTTCCCGTGTTCGCGGGACCCCCTCCACCTGATCCAGGCTCTCAACACCCACTGCCTCATTCCCAGCTTCACATTTTCTGGTGGATGCACTGTTATCTCCAGAGTACCCTCGGGGAAACTGAGGCATAGGAACTTTGGTCTGAATGGGTCCCAGATGGAAAGGCGGGCAGAGGAGAAGGTAAGGGACCCACTGGCTATCCAAGGTGGCCTGCCCTCCCAGAGCTGACCTGGGGGTTCTATTTTGGCCTTACCCCACTGGCTGTGAGCTATTGGCTGATGGTCACATGATTGCTGTGTCTCCCGAGCAGGGACTGGACCCCAACCAAGGCTGCTGTGGGCCTGCTGTTGGGGGTGTAGAACTTTCCCAGAACAGGCTCAGGATAACTTTGTGGGATGCATGAAGGGTCAGGCCCTGCTGCTGTTACTGTGTAGCCTGCTTAGATCCCAGTCAAACTCTGTGTCACTGTGTCGCTTTTAGCACCCTGGACCAGTTGAATCCCCCTGAGGATATGTTTCCATCTCAGGGGTGTGTGAGGCCTCCTGGGCCTGTCCTCCTGTCCTCCTCCAATAGAGATGTCAGGGCCTGCAACCACGGCGCTCCACAGAGGGGGTTTGTGCAGTTGGAGGGCCTTCAGTTTCGGGGTTTGAGGATGGGCAGAGACTAAATGCAGCCCTTTAGCCTGACAGATGGCTACTGGGAGAAGCAGGTTCCCTGCACTTCCTGCTCCCTCCCCTTTCTCTTCTTTCACACACACTGACTTCCAGTAACCCTGGCAATGCCCAACCCTTCCCAGCCTCTGAGCCTTTGCGCAGGACTTCCCCTGGTCTCCCCAGTCTTTGCCTAGGCTCCTCCCACCAATCTCCATGGCTTGTTTGTCATCTGTTCAGAGATGCCCCATCATTCCTCCTTTTCCTTAGGACATTTCCAATGCCGTTGGTCTGCTTGTTGACATTCCGCTTGAGCATAGAACACAGGAGACCTGACTTGCCTCCTCCAGTCTCCCGGCACCCAGCCCTGTGCCTGGTACCTTGGAAGTAGTAGTCATTTCTGCAGGAGGAGGTGGGGAAGGGGCTGGCAGGGCCGCTGGGGCAGAGCGTGGATGGGCCTTGTTCCTTCCCTTTATGAGCCCCCCTGCCAGGTGCCTTGCTGGCCAGCCTCTGAGGCCATCTGACAGGTTGGTTTCCTCTTTCTCCCCACCACCCATGCTTCTCCCCATTGGCTGCCATCCTGGATGTTGCTATCTTGGGGACAGGTACCCCTCTTGTTTGGAAATCACAGCTGGACACTTCTGTCTTGAATGTGAGTTTTGCACTTCTGGGGAGCGAGTGTGGGGTGGGGGCTGGGCGGGGTCAGGCTCATGTAGTTCTCTCCTATCCATTTTTTCTTGTGGTAGTTAATGTGACTCTGTTTCAGAGGGTGAGGCCACTGTGGCTTCAATCCCTGCCCCCAGCCCTTCCAATGGTCAGTGGCTTAGCAAGTAGCAGACCTTGGACTCTCCTCCAGGCAGCCCCACTTTCTGTATTTCCCAGATGCTGAAATGAAGCCTTTTTGGAAACAAATTTCCATGGAAATTCCATGTGTCCCTGACTCCCTTCCTGCAAGGGTTGGCTGGAACCTGAGGTTCTGGATCTCTGGCTCCTCTCCACCCCATAGTTGTGCCAACAGACTAATGTCCTGAGCATTTGTCTGTGTCTTGAGACCAGGGGCACAGCCGGTGGTTTTTTTCCTTGGGAGGTTCCTCCACCTCCAGCCTGGTCTCTACCCTCTGGTGTCCCCCGCATCTCCAGCTGACTGCGCCCCCTTCCCCCACACTTGCCTCAGTCAGATTTGTTTTTCAAAGGTTCTGTCCCCTGCCACTCACTATTGAGATCTCCTGGCTACTTTGTGAGTAGGCTGGGTTCCACAGAGCCAGATTTGAGGCCCTGAGGACAGCGCAGGGCAGTGGTAGACACCTTCAGGGCTGGTCATTGGCCTGATGTCACATGCTTGGCTCATGGTTGTAGTCCCTAGTTCTGCAGCTCTTCCAGGATGGTCCCCTGGAGGGGCCAGCTAGTGGGGGAAGGAGGGCTTGGGGGCTGGTACAAGCTGGTGGCAGGTGAGGACCTGCAGCCAAGAGGGGTTGGGCAGTGGGCTACTTGGAGGGCAGGAGCTGGGCTGCTGGGCTGCTGAGCTGTGGCCCAGGGGAGGGCCAGGGACTCCATCAGAGTAGATGGGAAGGGAAAGGATAGGGCAGAATTGCAGCCTTGGCTGGCTCTGGGCTACAGGGGACAGGCAGAGGGACTAGAATGGGGAGGGGCACTCCAGCCATCAGTAAACTGATGACATTTTTAGAGCAGGGTTGGAGGGGGTTGGAGGACAAGGACTGGGAGCCTGAGAGTGGCAGGGGTTGGGCTGAGTGAGAGGGCTCAGGGTTATCTCAGGCAGATGGTCAGGTGGGCAGGTCCTGTGGAACCAGCCGTGGCCTGTATTGGCAGAAGGGGTAGCTGATGGGCAGGCAGCAGTTCCCAGCAGTGGCTGGGGGTGGCCTGGGGGTCTGAACTTGGCCCTTGCCTCCAGAGTGGGCTGCTAGGCTAGCCTGTGGCAAGGGGAGGGTGAGCCTGTGGAGTCAGGTCAGGGATGCAGGAAGGTCACATTCTATCCCTGCCAGCCTTCCTCCTAGCACCAGGGCATCCAAGGCTGGGACCTCGCTGGGGCCTGGTGTCTTGGGCCCTCGCACTCCGGCCCTCTGGGGACTGTTTGGCCCCTCTGTAACAGTGTCATTCGCCACCTGGTGGTGGTGAAGACGTGCAGCCAAGATAAAGTGCCATCTTGTGGTCCTTGTTATTACCTCCGGAGGGCCCAGCCAGCTGGCTGCGGCCTTTGCCTACCTGGAAGCAGCATGCAGTTGAGTGTCCTTCCCCCAAAAGCCCTTTCTCGGTGCTGTGACCCTGCACAGGTTCCTGAGCTTCTCTGGACCCCAGGCTCCCCTCTGTTCAATGGCTCTTTTGAAAATGCCTACTCCCTGGGTGGCTGCATCCTGATGAAGCCAGTCCAGGCAGAGTGTCTGGTGCTTGAGAGTTGGCTGCTGGCAGTCCTCACGCCCCTTAGGCCTCCTCAACCCTTTTTATCTACTTTAAGAGCGACAAGTGTCTCCTGAGGTTAGCTGAGCCACTCAGGTCACCGAATGGGAGTAACCAGGGATCCAAACCCAGGTCTGGTCAGGCTGAAACCATATGGGTATGGCAGGAAGGTAGGCGTTCTCCTGGACACCTGGGGAGCTGGAGGGAGGAAGTGGAGGTCTTAGCCTCAGTTCTATCCCCTTGGGTGGGTCACCTTTCAGCCCTCATATACTAAATGGACAGGGCTCAGCAAAAGGGATCTGCGGACTGCTGACCCTGGGTCTGTAGTCCAGCTTGTCCCAGGGCACCATGCATGTACCATTCAGCTCTCAGGGGCCCTTCTATGTGCTGCTGACTCTGGCACTTGGGCTGGGGAGTGGGGAGCCACTGGCTATGGGAAGACTTCCTGGGTCCCCAGGTGTTCAGCTCTGAGCACCATGGGGTTCAGGCTGCGTATGGCCTTGAGTTGGTGGAAGCTATTCCCAGGCCGGGGGTTCTCCCTGACTCCATGGGCTGAGGAAGCCCTCAGAGTTCCCCTCTCACTTCTATCTTGGAGAGCAAAGCATTCTGGTGCTTGGGACTAGGCTGTTGGCAGTATTCACGCCCCTTAGGTGTCCTCAACCCTTTTTATCTACTTCAAGAGCGATAAGTGTGAGACCCAAGCTTCCTGTGAGACCCCACAAGCCCTATAATGGCCCCACACTCCTGCCCCAGGTTTGGACAAGGTTCAGGGCTGCTGGGCCCTAACTGACTCTCTCCCTGCTAGATATCTCCCTACGAGGTCCTCCCTCTTAGGGACCTGTGAGGGACCTCTTCTGTAGCCCTTTCCTCTCTCCCTTGAACTCCCAGCCCTGGAGGGGCCACGGAACTCTCTGGGCCAGTGCTGAGGGCTTCCTGAAGGAAAAGATAACATCCTGTGGAGAAGGGCAAGCCTGACCACCTACTTCCCAGCAGTGTGGGACCGGGGGCTAGATAGGGCTTGGTCCAGGGAGGGCCACACAGAGCAGGCCTGGGCAGGGAGCTGGCCTCCTGGAAGAGGCTGTGGCTGGACTCAGCCTCTGGGCAGGCCTCCCTGAGCAGAGAGAGGCCGGCAGCCAGCACTGCCTGGGACCCCAACCCTGCTGAGCAGCTCCAAGGAAGGGATCCTGTGCAGGTGCCCCCATTAGCATTCACCTTGGCTGGGGGTTCAGGGCCACACTGCCCCTTGCCATAGGGAAACTGTCGTGCTCCTGGGAGACTTGCAGCTTATAGAGCACTCTTACCATTGTGAAGGCCTGAGGAGGCCCAGGCTGGCCCCTGGGCGGGACAGTTCAAGGGTAGCTGAGCTTGTGTTCAGTCTCTGCATCTGTGAAGGCCTTTCTGCCTGCCCAAGTGGCCACTCGGGAGCAGTGCCTGGTGCCCTGGTAATAGGGGAGGACCTGGAGGATGTGACTGTGGGGAGCTGAGGTAGGTCTCCCCAAACATTCCCCCTCCCCTGCCTCTGAAGTTCAGCTCAGTGGAAGAAGGCACCAGGGTCCCACCGCAGGCCACCCGGGGCATCTGACCTAGGGAGGCAGGTCAGACCATAGAGACCTGCTTCAGGTTGAAGCTCAGAAATTCCTGCTTCTGCCCTAGAGAACAGCCAGTGTGGTGGGGCTTGAGTTGG